AGAGCAGGACAACTATACAGGTACTATCTTCAAGACAGTTGATAGCAGCCAGATTTATTATGAATCATATTTGTTGAATTAGATCTTCCTTACAATGAGAACAACATTTTAAGTATGGCTGTTGATTTGCTTAGTTGATTATGAATAAATAGCAATCTACCACTTGCTCTGTACATTTCATTTTAATTTCTTTAGTGTACTGCTGAAACGAGCGGCAAGCAGAAAGGAACAACAATTGTATTGATAAATGATAAATATTACGAAAGTTAGCTTACATTAGTATTATGCTCAGTACACAGGGAATAAATAAATAAAATGAACATGAAGCAATGTACAAAATGTTCCACTTAACCACGACATCCACCACCCGGACATCCACCGCCACCCATCATATCGCCGCCGTATCCTCCACCATATGGGCTTCCGCCATAGCCACCACCACCGTAATCTCCACCTAAAGAGATAATCAAAATTTGGGCATAATAATGACAAGAAGAGGATAAGTCGTCCTCAATCTAGCAGACACCTATGTTGCGTACTTTCAAAATATGCATTATCAGCCAATAAAACGAGGATTTTTCTACAAATTACGGTTTTCGTGTAGCTTCATCCTTCTGTATACTCCCCACCACGGCCTAGTTTAGCCCAGAAAGTAGTGCATTTGCACAAAGTGTTCTTATGAAGAGACTACTGTATATGTGCAGTTCTAGCCTTGAGGGTAGATTTCTCGTTGTCGATAAGATTTTTTTCAGAGTGCAGAGCGGTTCCAGAGTTTTTTGTGATAAGTAACGTTGATAATGCGCATAATCTTAAAGGCAGCGGCTCAAGAGAACGACAAACTTGGGTAATCGTTCTCAATCGCCATCGCCCTGGATGAGCTAAGTCCAGACTGTGCTTTATAGTTTCAAAAGATATCAATGACCTGCTTTTCCAGACGTGAAAAGTGCACTTGGGCGGACCGCATATGCCTGCCTTCTAGAACGCGATTGGTTCGTGGGAACGGTGGCTACGGTATCTCTACTCACGAGCCAATTGCGCTCTGGAATGCAGGCATACGCGGCTCGCCCAAATAGCACTTTTTACGTGTGGGAAGCAGAATTACTGGTATCTTTTGAAGCTGCAAAGCAACAGTCTTGGACTTAGCGCATCCAGGGAAACTGAGAACGATAAATATCCCAAAGGTGTCATTCTGCCGGACAGCTGCCTTTAAGTTCGCACTAGTTGAAGATACGAAATTTGTCGCGAAGCATCATGCAAACTTGTCCAGAAGACCTTCATCTATTTCGAGATGTTTGCTTTTTTGCAAAGTGAAATCACTCACCTCCAAAGCCGCCTCCTCCCATAGGTCCGTAACCTCCTCCGCCATATCCGCCACCTCCATAACCGCCGCCGTATCCACCTCCTCCATATCCGCCGCCAAAACCACCCATAGGACCTCCAGATAAATGCATCTATCAAAGCAAACACAATTCAGGTATTTAATATAGTACCTCCCATTCCACCACCACCGTAACCATCACCGCCATATCCACCTCCTCCATATCCGCCTCCCATCATTCCTCCACCACCGTATCCACCATAATCTCCGCCACCAAAGCCGCCCATACCTGAAACCGAGTTTGACTTTGGATACTTCGGAGATGAATCGATTACGTACCGTATCCTCCAGGGCCTCCACCCATACCACCGTAGCCACCGCCACCGTATCCGCCATAGCCACCATAATCTGGGCCACCACCGCCTCCGTTTCCACCATATCCTCCTCCTCCTCCGTATGGTGGACCGCCGTATCCTCCACCGAAATCGTCTCCACCACCTCCGTAACCTCCACCCATTCCTAAAATAGATGAGATAGCCTTATGTTGAAGTGTTTGATAAAGCTTACTACCATATCCGCCATT